GTCCCACCCCTGAAAATGTTCAAGGACAGGCTGGATGAGTCTTGGAGCAACCTGTTGTAGTGGAAGATGCCCTTATGCTCACCAGGAGGCTGGAACTAGGCACAAACAATTCCATGATTCCACTGCCCTCTCTGCCCAGCCTGAGCTGGGGCTTGACCTGCTGTCCCTGTGGCCCCCCACCTTGCCCGAACTGCTGCTACGGTGGTCAGTCCACAGCAGGCAGGGACTCCCACACTGTTTTTGCAGCAGGTCTTTCCAGGACCTGCTGCGACCAGGGAGGGGGACACAGGGTGTAGGTAAAGGGTCAGGCACTGTGGTGAGCACAGCTGTGGGCACGGTGAGGCTGTGGCCACCCTGGCACAGTTTTGATTCCATTTGGTATCAGCAGGGGGCAAATACCCTTTGCTTGGTGGAAATTCAAAACAGCTCTTCTGGGTGGGCTCGGGATTTGCATGATAAAGGAAAGAGCAGAGGAAGCCTGGGCCTCTTTTGTTTTCTTTTTTCCAGGCCAGACGTGCTCAGGGCAGAAATGCTTTGGACATTTCTCGCCTGTGCTGGGAGGAGCAGCTTAAATCCTTGGCTCCAAAACCAGGTTGTTGCCAGCTCAGCCTGAGACTTAAATTCAGGTTGATGTTTTGATGTGACAGAGTCGCTTTTAATCCTCTCTGAATCCACTGCGCAGGGACAGACAGAGAAGGGGACATCAACTCACAGTGAAGGACTGGAAACAAGGCACCCCGAGTGGTACGATACAGCGGGAGAGGCTCGGCACAGAACCAGTAAGGATTTTTCTGATAAATTATTATTAATCAGGGGTAACGATACAGCCATTGCAGTGCAGAGCAGCAGAGGGATTTGCTGCCCGGGGGCATCAAAATTCAAACCATTCCCTCAGGCTTGTCCTGACAAGGCAAGAGAAACTGAACTTTGCTTTCCTTCTAGTTTTCCTTTGCTTTGCTTTGCTTTTTGGGAGGGATTTCTAGCCCCGGCAGCCTGGGCTCTGGGGTGGCAGGGGTTCCCAGCCTTTTACTGGGGGATCAGCCCCACCACCTGAGCTCTCCTTGCTGGGTTTGCTCAGCCCTTGGCTACAAGGGGCTCCCCAGGGCCCCGTTATCCAACTAGCCCCTCTCCTGGGATCTCCTCCTGGCACGGAAGGGCTCTCTGAGCCTTCATGGGTCTGTGGCTGGTGGTTGGGAGCCTGGAGCAGCAGGAGGGAGCTTTGTCTCAGCCGATCAGCAAAAGCAGCTCAGACATTGCCCAGCCCTTCTCCCCCAGAGCCTCCCGCAAGCCTGAGCCCTCCCAGGGCTCTTGTCCCCCAGGCTTGGTTCAACAGGGGTGGGATGAAGTCGTAGTGCAGCACTGGACTGGTGCTGGCAGCTGGGGACAATGCCAGCCCTGCCATAGCTGAGGTCAGGGGACAAGGAGGGGCGTGATGGGCTGCAGGAGAAATCCTACCCCAACGACCCATGTCTGGTGGGTGCCCTCAGCTCCCTAGGGCTTCCCAGGTGGAAATGCCTGTCTCAAAACCAAATAAAGCTCTTTTTAACAAGGATGGGAGCACATGATGCCAGGAACTGCCTGTGTCTGATCTGGCAGAGGAGAGACCCCTGGAGAAGGGGGCACCCTGCTCAGGTTCTTCTCTCCCCAAATCTTACATCACTTAAAGCCCAGAGCTTCACTGCTCCTGCCCCAGGGCTGGGAAGGACCCCATGGAGCTCCTGTCCCAGCAGTGCTGTGGCAGCATAGGCAGCAGAGGAAGGGTTGCTGCAGCCTCATGTACACTTGCTCCTTGCCCCTGATTAAATAACCATCCCAGAGTTATCAGGAGCTGCCAAAAGAGCTAAGTTGACATTAATTAGTAACCAAAAAGGTTGGTTGGAAGGGGAATGACGGGAGCAAAATACACAGGCTTTTGTTTGCCTTCTACAGGGAAAGTGCAGAGGGCTTCTGCCCTCCCTCTTTCCCGGCCACTCACCTCTGGCCTCTGGTCCCCATGCACAAAGGTGGCACCTGCCCCATCCCAAGCCACCATGCTTTGTGGCTCCCCCGGTCTGTTCCCAGCCTTGACACTGAGAAAGCTGAAATCCCAAGAGTGGGCTGGGGTAGAGCTGCCTGCACATGTGGGGAGCCCTGTCCCCCACAAACACACCTGGCTCCATACAGACTGCGGGGGAAGCTGAGTGGGAGATCATCTCTGCCCCTTTTCCCCTGTTCTGACCTTGGCCTGTTTGTTTTGTCCTGCCGGGGCAGGCTGAGCAAACAGTGGATGCTGGGGCTCCGGCCACTGCCGCGCTCCAGCCCTCTCAGTCACAGGAGGGCTGCGCTCCCGGACACCCAGGATGAGGCTGCTCTTCCCTGCCCTGGCACTGGCCCTGCTCGCCACCACCCGTGCTGCTGAAGGTGAGCCTTAGCCAGCCAGGTGCCCCACGCCAGGTGCTTTGGGGATGGAGCAAGTGCAGCTCCTGGGCTGATGGAGGGGCTGAGGAGCCTGGGCAGGGGAAGGAGGGACCAGAGGGTGGCTGTGGCCACTCGCGACACTGGCTACACTGCAGGACAAGGAGAAAGCAAGTGGGTAGCACATGGGTATAGATGGTGCCTTGGCAAATCCCTGGCCATCCTACAGTTGAGCTGCCAGTGTGGAGCTGGGACCCTGACACAACCTTGTGCAGGGCTCCCATCTCAGCAGGACCTGGGTGGGAGTGGGGCAAGGTGCCAGGTAGCCCCTGATGGTGGGTTTGACCATGAAGAAGTGGTGTGCCCCTAATCATGACATACTCAAGTTTGCTTTCATCCCTGGGGCTGGGCTGGGGGGAGGCATAGGCCCCACTTCCCACCCCACATTACTCTTGTGCTGTGGGGTGGCTTTTGCAGACTCCTGCGAGGGCCGCTGTGATGATGGCTTCGACGCACAGCGCAAGTGCCAGTGTGACAGCCTCTGCATGTACTACCAGAGCTGCTGCAGTGACTACTCCACCGTCTGCAAGGCCAAAGGTACCGGCCCTGCAACCTCCCTCCTGGCTGGGGCATGGGAGGAATGGGGTGACTGTGGGTGCCTGACACTGGGGTAGCTCAGGGGGTCTGTGCTGGGTCAGCTCTGCACCCACCTGTGTCCACAGGGTGAAGTCAGGGCACTGTAGCACATGGGGTTTTTGGGAGCTGGCTCAATGCCACCCACAGCGTGGGGTCCATACAAATTGGATAGATTGGATAGTAGGAAAATATCTTCACTGAAAGGGTGGTCAGGCACTGGAATAGGCTGTCCAGGGCTGTGGTGGAACCACCGTCCCTGGAAGTGTTAAAAAAGAGTAGTCGTGGCACTTGGGGACATGGTTTAGTGTTGGACCTGGCAGTGTTGAGTTAACAATTGGACTTGATGATCTTGGAGATTTCTTTCAACTTTAACAATTCCATGATTCTATAAATCCGTATTGCCTGGGAGTGAGCGGCTCCCGCAACCAGACCCAGTGGGAGACACTCAGGGCTTCCTGGGACCAAACTGCTCCCCCCCACAGTGACCCGGGGAGATGTCTTTGCCTTGCCTGAGGATGACTACCTTGACTACAACCTCACTGTCGACTTCGGAACGGAAGAGCCCCCTAAGGCAGACCCCACGGAACTGCCCACATTCCCATCACCAGTGGAGACCACACCGGAGAGCAATCCAGGCCCTGAGGAGACAGAGCTGCCTGTGGACGTGGTGCCCACAACAGATGTGTTTGTGGAGCAGGATCCCGGGGACGAGCCTGAGGAGCTGTGCAGTGGGAAACGTTTTGACGCCTTCACAGACCTGAAGAACGGTTCCCTTTATGCTTTCCGAGGTACCTTGGGGACCTTTCCCAGGCACATGGGACATGCTGTCGCACTATCACCCCACAGCAACACCTGGAGTCCCTCCTATCTCCCTTCTCTCCCCAGGGAAGTACTTCTATGAGCTGGACAAGACGAGCGTGCGGCCTGGCTACCCCAAGCTGATCAGCGACGTCTGGGGCATTGAGGGCCCCATCGACGCAGCCTTCACACGCATCAACTGCCAGGGCAAGACTTACCTCTTCAAGGTGGGCTGGAGCTGAGCTGCAGGGCTGGGGGAGCTCCCGGGGTGGCTGGCACAGACCCTGACCCACCCTATCCCCTCCTGGCACCCTCCATGCACCCACAAACATAGTGGTTGCCAGACATCCCCATGCCCCTGTGGCATTTCAGAGGCCCCAAGCAGCCACAGCCTCACGATGGGGCTCCCCAGTATCCACTCACTCCCCATGGCAGACCTGGGCCTGGGGGATGCTGCACCCTGACCCCACTCTGTCCCACACCCCCCAGGGTACCCAGTACTGGCGCTTTGATGATGGAGCCCTGGACCCCGGGTACCCACGTGACATCTCCGAGGGCTTTGAGGGCATCCCGAACAACGTCGACGCAGCCTTCGCTCTCCCTGCACACAGCTTCCACGGCAATGAGAGAGTCTACTTCTTCAAGGGTAAGGGGTGCAGCCCCCAGCTCCTGGGCAGAGCCTGGCACCAGTAGGACACCCCTCTGCTGCTCTCCCTTGGGGGTGTGTCCCCCACTAATGCCCTGCACATCCTCTCCTAGGCAAGTACTACTGGTCCTATGACTTCGCCCAGCAGCCCACGCAGGCCGACTGCGAGAAGTCCTCCCCCTCCACCGTGTTCAAACACTACGCCTTCATGAACCGGGACAGCTGGGAGGATGTTTTCCAGATCCTCTTTGGCGGCAGGATGAGTAAGGGCTGGGCCAGCCCTGGGGGAAAGGGCTGGCGGGTGCCAGTACAACCCACACAGACAGGGCACAAGGGGTGCAGGCACCATGGGAGGGGGGTGCAACACCCTGCATGGGCAGGCTGGATGAGCCACCTTGTCCTGCCCAGGCCATGCACATGAACCCCCCAGGCCACAGATTCATCTCCCACAACATCCCAAATCCCATACTCTCAGCCCTTATGCCCTGCACTACCCAGCCCATCACCAGCCACCTCACACCACAGCATCACTGCTGGGGACTGTTTATTGTCACTGGAACTGAGGATGCCACAGGAAGCCCCAGGTCTGGGAAAGGGGAATGAAAAATGGAGAGAAGGGGGCTCAGCAGCACAGGGTTGATCCCAGCCAAGAGTGGGGTTGGGGGCTGCTCCCACCTCTGTCTGGCCTGTTTCCCCACCACACATCCTTCCAGACGGGGATCCTTTGGAGCATTCCTGTGGGTCTCTGAGCAGGCACTGGGAGTTTTCCATGGAGCTGGGCTCAGCTCACCCCATACACTGCTGCTTCTCTTACTCACCCCCTGCTCTTTTTCCAGCTGGGGCAAGTGGCCCACGGTACATCAGCAGGGACTGGCGAGGGGTGCCCAGCCCGCTGGATGCTGCCATGGCCGGCAGGATCTACGTGGCCTCCCACCAGCCCCGGAGGAGGAAGTCTCGCCGCCAGCGCAAGAGGTACAACAGCCAGCGGTCCCTGAATTTGGGATTGTTTGGCTGGCTGCAAAACGACTCTGACTCCGCGGGTGTCGAAAGCGATGGGCTGTCAGGCTCCAAGTGCAACACGCTCCAGAGTGTCTACTTCTTTGTAGGAGGTGAGTCTGGCATGGCAGAATCTGGGAATGATGTGGCACTGGGGCTGCCAGGGCAGGGGGAGGGCTCCTTTCTCTCTGTGACATCCCCAAGCACTGGGACACAGTGGGAAGGTGCCCAGGGCTGGCAGTGAGGGCTGGCAGCTCCCCACAGCCAAGAGCAGTCCTGACAGCCATCTCCCCTTCCTCCCAGACAAGTACTACCGCGTCAACCTGCGCACCAAGCGCGTGGACCTGGTGCAGCCGCGCTATCCCCGCTCCATCGCCCAGTACTGGCTGGACTGCCCGCAGCCCGGGGAGGAGAGCACCTGAGGGGGATCCCCGGAGCCGCCGGCAGCACAGCCCCAGCTAGACAGAAATAAACTGTGAGTGCCGTGCAGGCTGGAGAGCCCTGTGTGTATGTCCATCCAACGGGTCTGCGTGATCCTTGTAGTCCCAGATCCCTGTGTCCCCAAGGGCTGTGGTTGTCCCCCCAGCCCGTGCCAGATCCCTGCTGCTGGCCCCATCCACGGTGTGACTGTGGCTGCTCAGATCTGCTCCGCCAGCCAGTCCAGTGCCTCTTCCCACTGGAGGAGAGGGACAGTGCCGGCAGCTGCCAGCAGAGAGCCAGCAGGGTCAGCTCTCCACTGCCCCCAGGATCAGTCCACAGCCCCGTGTTTGAGTGGCTGTGCTGAGGATAGGTGCTCATCCCGGAGGGGCCCCATCTGAGGCCCTACCTGGTCTCCTCTCATTGCCCTGCTCACCTCTGGGCTCTGGCAATCCTGGCCATGGTGGTGCTGAAGGGATGACCCTTCCCTCGGGGCTGGGACCGTGCTCTGGGCCTGGGAGCTCCTGAAGCAATGGGTGCTGCTGAGACAAGCTCCTGCTTCTGCCCTGGCTCCTGCCATGAGGACATGAACAAACCCTGACCCACTGTCTCACCACCACCCCAAAACCCCAAGGGCTTCTCCTGAACTGCAGCTGATGCCCAGTGGCCCTGGCTCTCACCGCTTTCCCTGGTGTGGCTGGGGGTGCCTGTGGAGCTGATGGGAGTCAGGCAGAGCTGTGTCCTCCTGTCTGAGGGGCAGAACACCAGCACTTCCCTCGCGGGGAGACGGCTGCGGCACGGGGGGCACTGGCAGTACCTGTGGGAGAGCAGAGAGGGCAAGGCTGCTATGCCACACTGTGCCACCCCCCGCCAAAGAGCCCTGGGGCTGTACCTGGGACACAGTAGCATCAGCTGGCCCGGGACAGCACTGTGGGCACCCTGGGCAGCTGGAGCGGCTGGAGGCAGGAGGCAGCTTCTGCAAGAGTGGACAGCAGCAGGTGGGTGGTTTATGCATCCTCCCCTTGCCGTGGGCAGGATACACATGGAGCCCGGGGTCCCCCACTCTCACCGGCAGCCGGGGGATGGAGGCAGATGTTGTGTTGGGCTGCCGGAGCCTTGTGGAGTGGCCAGGGGAAATTTGGGGGGCGTGGGCACTCCGGAGCAGGGGCTGGCTGTCACAGGAGCTGCGGGTGGCTCTGTGGGAAGGGCCATCTGGGATGTCACCACTGGGGTCTGGAGACAACCGGGGCTGCCTGGGGAGCAGTGAGGGAACACGGCAGGGCATTGGCAACCTTCAGAGAGCCTCAGAGCCCTGCCCAGCCCCACAGAGTTCGTGGGAGAAGCTGGCTGGCACTGACTGTTGTCCGGCTGGGGGCTCTGGCTGTCCCATTGAGCCCTTGATGCGCTGTTCAGGGGTCCCGCACATGCCCCCCATACCTCATGTGCTCATTCTCCACCACGAAATTCCGCAGGAGACCGTAGAGGCTGGGCCAGGCTGGCGTTCCCTCCGAAGGGAGCTGCCTTTCAAGAGGGAGGTGATGCAGCCCTGCAGGGCCGTACCTGTCTCCCCAGCTCAGGCAAGCTTTTGGAGGGTTCCCTGGGACCTCTGTGCGCCTCACTGGCACCCTGGGTAGGCACAGCTGCTGGCGCAGGGAGAGGTTTTCCAGCTTTAGGGCATGGATTTCTTCCTCCAAGGTTTGCAGCAGCTTCTCCCGGGACACCTGGGAGCATAAGAGAGTGGCTCAGGGGGGTCCAAAAAGAAGGGCAGAGGGGCTCAGAAGGGTTCCCTGTCTGTAGTACCCTGTTGGCCAGGGGTCTGGTGGTGACCCTCCCAGCCCGGCTGGCATAGTGCAGCGTACTTAGTGTCTCTGAGAGGCAGCGTGAGGATGGAGAGATGCAGGCGACCTGCAGACAAGGAAGAGATGCAGGTGAGCTGTCACTGTCCCCCTCCACCCCTCCAACCCATGGGGCAAGACCCCTACTCAGCCCTCTTCCATGCATGTACCATTAGGGTGATGCCCGAGCCACCCAGGGAGTGGGCCAGCAGCTGGGTGAGCTTGCTGTCCCGGTATGGGATGTGTGTCCATTTCCCTCGGGGTTTGGCCAACAGAGAGATGCAATGTCCTGCCGAAGGATGAGCCACAGAGGGTGCAACAGGGCTCTGGTGAGGACCAGCAGCCTGTGCTCCCCTGGTGGGTCACACAACTCTTACCCAGTGCCAGGAGGCTGCGGTTGATGCTGTTGGCCTCCACGGAGAGCTCCCCGCTGGAGCCGGTCTCCTTCACCCGCTCGCTGCCGGCCAGGTCCACGAAGCACAGTGTGCCCTGCTTGCTGGGGCAGGTGCTGGGCTGGGGGACCCGTGTTGGTGGAGTAATGCTTTGGTGCCCCTCAACCCTTTCCTGTGGCCCACAGCAGTGCCTCGATCCCTGGGTCTGGAACTGGGCTCCCTGCTGTTCACCACAGCCCCATCATTGTGACTTTGAGGAGGAGGACATGACCCCACCAGCCTGGGGCTGTTTGCACCCCCACAATGAGCCCTGGGCCCCCCAAACCCTCCCCCAGAGCAGGACATGTGCTCACAGCCCGGCTGTGGATGTGGATGGTCAGAAGAGCATGGCTGCGGCTCGAGTGCCTGTTGAGGGCATGCGCTGAGGTCCGTCTCCTCTGGGATCCTGTCAGAGATGGAATTGAGAGCTGCAGGGAGGCAGGACACCCCACACTCTGGTAGAGCATCCACTGCCCACCCCCTGACAGACTGGAGCCTGCCTTGGCTCTGCAGCAGGAAGGGAAGCTGTTCCTCTTGGCTGTCATCGGAGCCCCACCAGCCCTGGGAACAGTCTGCAGGGGGCTGAATCCTGCCATACCAGGTCTAGAACCCCCTGAACATGCCCCAGCCCTGCACCCGTGGGTGCAGCACCTTGCAGGAGCAGGCTGACAATGGCCTCCAGGCTCTCGAAGTCCACACTGAGCTGGTTCTCCACGTAGAAGCCGCGGGTTTTGCTCCACCGCAGGGGCAGAGCGCACGGCGGCCCCGGGCTCAGCAGGTCCCGGACCTGTGGGTATGGCAGAGGGAAGGCACAGGGGCAGTGGGGCACAGAGTGCCGGCAGGGCCGGATGGGGGGCTGGGCAGGCACTTACCTGCTCGTTGTAGATCTCGAGGTAGGAAGCACTGAGAGCCAGGTCTGAGCCACGGCTCCGGCTCTGCTCCAGGAGGCAGGCGAAGGACCTCTGCATCAGCCCCAGCAGGGCCGGGGACGCCGGCTGGGTCTCACTCTGCGGAGATGCCAGAAGGGTGAGTGGTCAATAGTATTGGGCACCCACCTGCTCCAAGAGCGCATGACCGAGTGGGAAGAGCCTATCCCACCACCAGGGTGAGGTGCGGAGGGACAACGTTGTACCTGGGTGAGGGGTCCCATCAGGGTGTAGGTCTTCCCCGAACCTGTCTGCCCGAAGGCAAAGACGGTGCAGGAGAAGCTGGGGAAGATGCTGAGCGTCGGGCATGGCCCCAGGCCGTGGCACAGGGATGCCACCTCCCGGCACAGCCCCGGCAGTGCAGACCCGCCGACGATGCCCGGCGTGGGGTGAATGGAGGTTTGGGGTCCACGGGGGGCCGGCCAGGACTTACCCATCTATCGCCAGCTCCACCAGCTGCCTCATCCCGCTGCCTTCGAACACAGCCTCCTGTGAGGCGCCGGCGTCGAACACGGCGCTGAACCCAAAGGTGGCATCGTGCCTGGCTGCGCTCACCTGGGCGTGGGGACAGAAGCATCTCAGAGGGTGCCGCAGCACCCCCCGACCCCCCGGCTGGGAGGTGGCACTTACGTGGACCGCACCGTCACCGAGGCTATGCACAACCCGCCGGTCACCTCGCCGCGTCTCCGTACAGGTCAGTGGTCGGACCCTAACGATGGGGCGTGCATGGGAGGACACAGAGGTGTCACTGCTTGTGGACTCTGGGGAGCTCCGCTGTGCCCCTGCCCCAGGCAGGGAGATCCCTGCCGCGCCCCCGAGCCCTTCGCGTCCCCCTCCTTACCTTAGCACCACCCTCAGCCGCGTGTCTCTGCCCTCCACGGGGCCCTCCCGCTCCTCTCTGGGGCTCCTGTGGGGAGCAGAAGGCAGTGGGGTGGTGGGTGCCTCCCAGCTGGGGGTTCTGCCGGCCGGCACCCCGATGGGGCTGGGGTAGAGGGAGCCGCGGTCATGCTGCGCTCAAGCCGCCCTCCCGCGCCCACTGTGCCCCGGGCCCTGGCAGGGGACAGAGCTCAGTGTTCCACCATGTCTCCGCAGAGGGACGGTCCAATGCCCCCAGTCTATTTGCGATGCCTCCCCCGCCGGCTGCATCAGCCGGGCCGCCACTGCCCAGGTCCTGTTGCTCCAGGACGCAGTGGCCTCCCTCCGCTCCGTCTCCCTCACAACTTACGGTCTCTCCTGGCCCCGTGGGAGCGTTCTGGGCCGGGGGTCCGTCTGGGGCTCCCCACCCCGCTCCCCCTCCGGCTCCATGCGCCCTCCAGCACCCCGCAGTTGGGGGTGCCCGCAGCTCCCGGCCTGCCCCGGCAGGAGCCACCGCCAGCCGGCCCGGGCTGCCCCGCACAACCGGTACCACCGCTCCGGTTAAACATTGACCGTGCCAGTCCCGCAGGAGAGCGGCGGCCGCACAGCGGGGGGCGAGCGGGGGGGCGGGCGGGGAGCCGGAGAGGGGGCGCAGGGGGCAGGTGGGTCACCGAGCCCGGGGATCCTCACGGGTCGTACAGTGCCCCGACGGCGGCGGGGGGGATGCCAGTACGAGCAGTGGTGGGATTACTGGTCCCCGAGGGTGCAGGGGGGACGGCCCCCGAGTCAGCCGAGGCTATCGGGCACTGCCATCGGGGGCGCGGAGCGAGGACCGGCCCCGGGAGCCGTCGGGAAGAGATGGGGTGGGGGGGCAGCACCGCCCGCTCGGGGCGGTCCCAGCCCGCCGGGGGGACTCGTGGGGGATAAAAGCCGGGGCGGCGGCGGCGGCGGGGCCGGGGGAGCCGGGCAGGATGAGCGCGGCCCCGGGCACCTCCCGCGCCCCCCAGCCGCTGCTCCGCTTCCCCGAGGGGGCGGGCGGGCCGGGCGGCGGGCGGGCGGCAGGGGGAGGTGGCGGCCCGGGGCCGTGCCCCTGCCCCTGCCCGGGGGGGCCGCGGAAGAGGCGGCGGACCACGTTCAGCCGGGGGCAGCTGTCGGAGCTGGAGCGGGCCTTCGCCGCAGTGCCCTACCCAGACATCGCCACCCGGGAGCGTCTGGCCGAGCTCACCCAGCTGCCCGAGGCCAAGATTCAGGTGAGCGCGGGCGGGACCCTCCCCTCCATCCCACCCTCCCGGGGCCGGGACCTCCCCTATTCCCCAGGGGGCTGCCCCATCGGGCCGCTGTCCGTGTCTCACAGTTCCCCTCGCCCGTCCCAGGTCTGGTTCCAGAATCGCCGCGCCCGCAGGATCCGCAGCGCCAAACCGGAGCCTCCGCCGCTACCGCCGCTGCCGCCTCCCGGGGAGCGGGGTCCCCCAGCGGCACCCCCCGACGGCAGCACCCCGGGCCCGGCCCCTGCTCTGCCGCCGCCGGGAGCCCGCAGCCCCGCTCGGGGCCTCCCCACCTCGCTGGGCTCCATCTCCGACCTCATCTACAGCGCGGCCATCACCAACCTGGGCGAGCTGTAGCCGTGGTGGGGACCCCCTGGGCACTGGGGACCCCCATGGCATCGCGGCCCCCGCAGATTAGCGCCACGATTTCATTAGGGTGTGGAATTACTGCCGGTCCCGAAGGTCCCGAGGATGTCATCCAATATCCTAAATGCCGGTGCGGCTGCGGCGGGGGCAGCTCCCCATCAGCCCCCTAATACCGACTAATCTTTTGGAAAAAAATACCTTAATCTGGGGCCGTATCCACGGATGATTGTGGCACAGCCGCCCCTAATCCGCAGGCACGTTCGCAGGTGCCGGCAGATCTCCCCGTATCGGATATTAAACTGTGTTTCCACAGGGGCTTAGCTGCCATCAGAGCATTAATCACCGTGTCCAGCCCTGGCAGGGTGCCCACCCAGCAGGTGTCCAGGTCTCCTGGGCTTGGCAGGGACAGCCTGGGTGCCCCCTCCCCACCGTGGCTGCACTAAGCTGGCTCTGCTCTCCGCTCCGTGACACCCAAAAAGGCCCCAGGATGTGCATTAAGGTGCATCCCCTCACTACTCCCAGAAGCTGGGTACCCTTTGGCAGAGGGTTGGAAGCACCATGCACCCCTCACTGCTCCATCTACAGCTCCTGCTCCTCCCTGAGGCACCAAGAGCCACAGGGCCATGGCTCAGGTCACGCAGCTCCTGTGTGAGGACACTGAGCTGGGTGCTGACCCCAAAGTGGCTGCACCAGACTCTGTCATCCTCCTGAATGGGTCTGTGTGGATGATGAAAGGGCTCGTCCTCAAACACCAGCTGGGTTGGGTGCTGCCATCTGAGCCTCGAGAGAATAAGGGTTCCCAAAAGCAAGTGAGGGATCAGACAGAGCAGAGGGCAGGCAGAGGGGGGTTTTGACACGGGATGGAGCAGGATGCGGAATGCAGAGGGAAAGGAAAGATTCACAGTTCCCCGTGGTGTCTTTAAGATGTGTGTTCCACGTACCAGCAGATGTCCCCCAAGATGAAGGAAGAAGGTTACAAACACACAATGTTATTTATTTCCAGAATACAAGCACAGGAACTTCACAGGAAAACAGGAATGGTGGGAGCTGACGCCCCTCTCCATGCTGGGGTGGTCAGAGTCCGCAGCCATTCCCTCTCCTGTTCTGCAGCTGCGGGATTTTCAATCCATAATTAATTTCGGGAGCAGGAAGCAAAGGACGAGCCTGAGGAGTGCAGCCATCTTCCCGTAGCAGGAGCAGGTAAAAACAGATGGGACAAGATAAAACTGTCCCAAATTAATGGCTCTTGGGGAGGACAAAAAGCCTCCAGCACGAAGGCTGCAGTTCATGGTCACAGTTTCCCAAGGTCCCCTTCGAGGGTCCGCACCATCACGTACAGCTCGGCCAAGCCCACCACCGAGGCCACAATGACGGCTGACAGGACGCGCTGGGGACATAAAAGAGAGAGGGGTGACCCTGGGTGTGCGGTCGTGGTGCCACTCTGGACTGGGCAGCACAGTGTGCTGCAGGGAGGCCGTGCTCGCTCACCGCTGCCGTCTCTGCGAAGACGTACTGGCTGCCCAGGTAGGTGCAGGCGAAGGCGGCCACCACGGTGACAATGAAGTTGAATATGGTGATGACAACGGCCTTCACGGAGCGCACTGGGGGAGAGAAGGGGGAAAGTGGCTGGTTTTAAGTAAGGCTGGGGATAAGGTGTAATCATACTACAGAGCTGGCCCGGGGCCACCTTAGCTGGGATACAGGAATCCCGCAGGAGTCACACGCTTGGTGCCTCCAGAAATATGGATAAGAATGACCCCCAGGCTCCTTTATTCAAGGAACACTTTAGTGTGTGAAAACCTTCTGGTGAGATATTCAGTCTGATGTCAACAGCTGGACATGGAACAGTTCCTGTGACTGTCCTGTCAGCAAACACTGCTGGGTGTCAACAGGACAGGCAGCCACTCACCTTGTCTCCCAAATTCAGCCAATGGCCCCTTCATCTCCTGAAAAAAGGGATTAAAACAACTTGTGATAGGTTGTATTTTAATGTTGATAATAACATGCTTACTGTGTGTGCAGAATAAAAGCAATGCCAATGCCCTGTGCTGTCCCCAGGACTCCGAGGTTCAGAGAGATTTTGGTGGGCTGGGGGGGAACAGCAGTTTCACAGTGCACAGGTTTCTCTGGGATTTTGTCTGTGGTCTGATTCAAGGCTGTTCGGAAGGGATTGTTTCTAATCAAACCACTTCTCTGAGTGGGAGCATTTTTTTGCACGTGGGTTCTCTGCTGCAGGTTTGTCTCTATTAGAGACATGAAAGTGTCTCACTTTGTCACCTGTTTTACACAGCTGGCAATAATGAGATGGTGTCAAGCTCTGTTGTCACATCAGGCATGGTTACACCATGATATCGGGGTGGGGGGAGGGCAGGGAAGATGTGATGAGCACACAGGTGTGGGAACACTGCTCTGCTCCACTGTTTGGAAGGAATGTGGCTGTTCAGCTCTGTTACAACCACACTGGATCACAGGTCACAGAATGGTTTGCCTTGGGAGGGACCTTAAAGACCATCTCATTCCAACCCTCTGCCATGGGCAGGGACACCTTCCACTAGATCAGGTTTTTCCAAGCCTCATCCAGCCTGGAGTGGCCAAGCTTGGCAGAGACTAAAGTCTGGAAGAAATGTGCAGGGACTTGAATACACAAGGATGTCAGGTACAGTGTGGAGGCATAACAGGATGGGATCACAAGGAATGCCAGCAGGAAGGGATGCTGGCCTGTCCAAACAACTACTGTGCCAGAAGATATCGGCTCTCTCAGGAAAGGAAGAATGCTTAAATATTACCCTGTTTTTTCAGCTTTTACCCTGACGAGACAATTTTAAAACTATGACAAAAATGTAAGCAGCAGGGATGCTCCCAGTCAAACATTTACCTTGGGTGCTCAGTCTCCCAGATCAGATTCTCAGATCTTTGGCACGGGTGAGCAGTTCCCATAAGTCAGTATGTCTGTTCACCACCCTGTTAACCCTGTCCTACACCTGCCCTCAGCACAGGATCTATTGTTCCTGGTGCATTAACAGCGTGCTCTCCTCCAGTCTCTGTCACATTCCCTGTGCACTCACTCTAAGGGGCAAATCTCTTTTGCTGTCAGGTTGCCACGTGTTTGAGGGATGAGTCCTGGCAGCAGGCACTGCAGCAGCCCCTCACCTGGCCGGTGATGTTGCGGGTCATCCGCTGGTACTCCTCGTGTGCCAGCTTGGCCTTGATCCGCTCCAGCCGGGCCACCAGCTCGGGGTTCTGTGGGAAGCACAGACTCACCGTAAGAACCGGGGGCTGCCGCCACCTCCTCCCGCGACTCCTGCCCAGCCCTCACCTACCCGCGGCGGCACCGGCACTTCGGGCAGGTGGATCTCGCAGCCTTCCAGCAGCTCGTGTAGGTGCAGTGGGGACCCTGTGTGGGGTGCGGGGGGGAAAGCGCGGTCACGGCGCGGTCACGGTGCGGTCATCGCCTCCCGCGGCGCAGTGCGGCCTACCTGCCTCCCGCAGCGCGGTGTGCACCCTCCGCAGCAGGCTAAAAGGCACCAGTGCTCCTTCTGTCGCCAGCGCCGCCTCCACATCACCCCGCAGCCCCGCGGGCAGCGCCGCCAGCTCCCCGGCCTGCACCGCCCGCCGCAGCCGCGGCCCGGCCCGCACCGACGACGCCATGTTGGCCCGGCGGCCGTCTCCAAGGCGACCGAGGGGAGCATAGAGAGGGCGGGGCAGAGCGGCGGCGCGGCGAGGGGGTGGGGAGAGCGGAGGGGGCGGTGGCGGGCGGTGCCGCGCGGTGCACTGTGGGCCGCGGGCGGTGGGATGTCGGGCGGCGCGGCGCGGCGGTACGTGGCGGCGGCGCTGGGCCGGGCTCGGGCCCGCGGGCCGCCCCCGCTCTGGGAGCCGCCCCCCGCCCGCCACCTGCGGGCCCTGGGCACCGGGGCGGGGACCGCGGCGCTCCCGCCGCTGCTCTTGCCGCCGCGGAGGCACCTGTCGTCGCGGTGAGGCCTGTGGGGGGTGGTGGTGTTTGGGCCCTGGGCAGGGGGTTGAGGGAGGGTTAGGGGAGGGTAGGGGGTTGTTGGGAGGGGAGGTTCGGGGAAACAGGCGGTGAGGGGCCGCGAGGGAGTGGGAGCGATTGGGAAGGGGCTCGAGGCTCGCGGGGAGTGTTTGGTGTGCGGGTTGAGGTTCGGGAAGGCAGGTCGGGAGGGGCCGTGGGGGGTGTTTAGAAATGGGAGTGATTGAGAGGGTGGTTGGGGTGCGGTGCAGGGGCAGTTGGGTCGTTGGGGGAAGATTGGGAAGGAGTGGGGGGGCTGCAGGGTGGTGTTTGGGGATAAGGATGATTGGAGCAGGTGGAGGCTCTCAGTGGGTGTTTGGAGAGCGGGTTGGAGGCTGTTGGGTCATTTGGGGAAGACTAGGAAGGAGTTGGGCTTGCTGAAGCAGGGATATGGGAAAGGGGATTGGGATAAAGGGACAAGTGGATGGGGATGTGGAGGACAATTGAGAAAGGGGAGACTGGCAAAGAGTGGGGGCAGGAGGTGGGGCCGGGCAGCCCTGCGTAGTGGGGCTCTCATGAGGGGCTGTGTGGTACCCGAGGGAGGCACAAGGTGGGAGCAGTGTCTGTGCATCACCCTGGGCTCGGGTGCTGTGTTCCCCTGGGTGGTTCAGCCCCTGCAAACCCTCCAACCTGCCTCTCTGCTCCAAGGAACCGTCCGGAGGGCAAAGTGCTGGAGACTGTGGGGGTGTTTGAGGCCCCGAAGCAACATGGCAAATATGAGACTGGTCAGGTAAGGGGTCCTGGGGGCAGAGCTGACCCTGGTCGTGCCACAGGGATCAGACAGCCGAGGGATTTCCCGTAAGGAGGCTGCTGTAGTATAGCAGAAGGCCAGAAGTTTCACCGCTCAGTGCTCTTTGTCTCTGCTGTGTCTGCAGTTTGTCAATCATCTGACAATAGCAGGTCGATAAGAATCTGCAGCCCAACACAACAGCTCTACAATGACGTTTGCTCCACTGAGGGTTCTCTGCTTCAGGGATCGGAGGAGACAATCTCTGAATTTAAGAAATAACAGTTAAATTTGCCATTTCTGTGCTCACGACTCACAGCTCTATTTCTGAGCAGTTTCTCCTGTGCTGGTCTCCTTTCTGCTGCTCTATTAATTACTGATTTAGTCCCCTTTTATGGGATAGAGGTTACATGCATTTCTCCTCTCATCCCTGACTGTTTGTGCTCACTGTTTCTGCTTTATATTCTCACAGTGGTGATTCTCCCTGTGTCCCCATCCCACACATTCAAACCCTTTGTAAACATTTCTAGTTTTACCTCAGTTAACGGATCTTTTAAATACTGTCAGAAAAGGGCTTTTGGCTTCTTGTTTTCTTTTGTGTCTATGTTGATTAAAGCTTGCTGTGGATTCAACTTGCAATTATTTGTTCCTTTCAGCTCTTCCTGCACAGTGTGTTTGGCTATCGAGGAATAGTCCTGTTTCCCTGGCAAGCCAGGCTTTATGATCGGGATGTGGCTTCTCCTGTCACAGAAAAGTAAGGATTTGAGGGTTTGTTCTAGCTTATGTTGCTGTACTGTTACATTTTCATTTTGTAGCAAGTTTCCTGGTTGGGGTAAACAAATGTTTTTAAGGAGGCCAATGGTCTGTTTGCATGAGTGTAAAGTAGGAGAGGTGCTTAAAGAGATATTGCAGGTGTATTAATTTTGTGTTAATTAGAGATGGGATGAAAGTATATGTGTGTGTGAAGGAAATAAAAAAACAATTAAAAATTCATGCTCCTGGCATTTTGTTTTATAAAAAACACCCCCATTTTGAGTTAGCTCCAGTTTCCTGTGTTACAAATTGCAGGCTGCTGCTGCTCCTTCTGTAAACTGCCAGTGAGTTGGATTTGTCAGCCTCCTCCCCAGTTTCAACCCACTAGGCCAAGTTCATCCTTCTTGAGTTGCTGTTCAGTTCTCTCCCCTCTTGCATCCCTTTCCCTGTGATGAGGTGTGCTGGGAAGGAATAAGGATCAAGCATAGGAATACCCATCCCAGAGAGGAGACTGGACTGAGCAGGAAGAACCTCTGAGCTGTCTGACAACAGAGCTGTTGTGTCTCTGCCAAACACCGTCAGTTTGCATCTTGGCTGATCTGTCTGTAATTGTGTGGGTGGCTGACAAGGATTTGGTTTGGATGGAATCAAATGTTTACAGACTGTGAAATGTATTTTTTTTTTAAAAAATCATTGTTTGTGTATGTGCTTGATTCTGGTAACAAGAAATTGCTGCAATCCTGCACTTGAGCTCAGAGCTCTGCTTTTCTGTTTAGGAACGAGAATGTGGCAGGCCATGGGTCCAAAGAGGTCAAGGGCAAAACACACACTTACTACCAGGTGTTAATAGATGCCCGGGATTGTCCACATATAGTAAGTAAGGAGTAAACTTGGTATTGGAACTCAAGTGTCTTCTTATATGTGAGTGGGTCAGGTGGACAGGCATGGAAAGAAAATGGCTGTGGTGGCTAAATTTGGCTAGGACAAATTTGTTCTTCAAGACATATTTTCCCTGAGAAAGGTACACTGGAATGTCATATAACTGTTTTCTGGATCATGTTTCCCCTTTCCAGCCTCCTTTCCTCATCCTGTTATCATTCCCACTCTGTTGCATGCACATTGTGAATGTGGGTTGCAGTACTGAAAATGCCCCTCACTTGTTAGTCAGTCTAGAGGAATGAAAAGGAGAGGTGTTCTGAGGTGAATTGGTTAAATAAATGTTTCACACTTTACAAACCACAACAGTAAACTGAAGCATGGCTGGAAACTGGCCCACAACAATTCACACAGAAAGACATAAGCTTCCCTTTTTCTCAGTCCCAGAGATCACAGACAGAAGCAGTGACGTTCCTGGCAAATCACGACGACAGCAGAGCCCTCTATGCCATCCCAGGTGAGCAAAATCCTCCTTCAGCCTCTGATTGTCATGATTGAAGAGTCATCAGTAGTCAGCTCCTACCAGCAGCAATTCCTACAAGACATTCCTGTTGTGGATTTGTCCTAAGTTTAGGGCTGGGCAGGAAACAACTGAGTGACTAAAGTACATGAAGCCCTTTGGAGAGCTGGAAGTTGGGCACTCTGTGATCAGACACAACTGTGCCTGATTTAATCTCTAGACATAGGTCCCATACAAAGTTGCATATAGGCTGTTCTTCGTTTGGGGCAGTGCAGGCACTTTGCAGGCAGTGAGTGTGTTTATGACAGGAATCATTCCATGGAGAAATCTCACAGGAGGATGCTGCCAAGGGTTATTGCTGATCTATTTCCTCCATTCTTGGTTGCAGTCGTGGTATTAGCTTTACCTTCTGCTGACAAAGTCCTTTTCTTAACTTGTCACTAGTGTGATCCGTTTTTCTGCCAGGAGACTTCCGAGCTGCTCTTTCACTGGGGAAGTTCCAAGGCTTTTGGGGTTTCTTTTTCAGGTTTAGACTATGTAAGCCATGAAGATATCCTTCCCTACAGCTCCACTGATCAAGTGCCCATCCAGCATGAGCTCTTTGAGAGGTTCCTCATGTACGACCAAACAAAAGGTAATTTCTGGCTTCACAGGGAACTCTTCTGAGCCAGATGCTTGAGGTGCTCTGTAACAAGTGCTCAAAACCCATCATCTTGGCTAAGGTGTAAAAATGATATCTGGTTTGGAGTTTGTTACAGTAAAGCCACCTCTCAATAATTTTTTTAACTTGAAAGGAGTTACTTTGAGGGGAGAGCACTCCAGGTACAGTATTGCCTCATAAACTCTCACCTTTCCTTCCCCATAGTCCCACCTTTTGTAGCAAGGGATACTCTGTGTGCGTGGCAGGAGAAGAACCACCCCTGGCTGGAGCTCTCCGATGTGCACCGAGAAACCACGGAGAACATCCGTGTCACGGTCATCCCTTTCTACATGGGCATGAGGGTAGGTGTGTGCTGCATGTTGGTGTGTCAGTTCTGCCATCTGCTTAACTGATGTGTTTTTCTAAGACCAGTTTACTGACTTAGGGTACTTTCTCCTTACTGGAGAAACGATATTTTAATCGTAGTTAATGACAGAAGTGACTTTAATCACACTTGCAATTTCATTCTCATGATGTGCAGCAGAGGCGTGAACAGGAAACTGTTTTGTCATGGATTTTTGGAGAACAGCCCCTGTATTTTGGCATTTGCTTGTTATCATCAGTAGGATGGGAATTACCCTGTAATGTTCTGCACAGCAGTGCTAGCAAGATATTTAGGAAGGCTTGTTAATTAGTCCTGTACTGCCTCACTCAGAGATGGGTGTGCATGAGGTGGCACCGGGGCCATCTACCCTGCAACGACAGACACATCTGTTATCCTGCCCAGTGATGGGCTGTGAGTGTCTGCCTGTTTCCTGGCTCCAGTGTGAGTTAGAGGGTTTGGCTGAAGCCTTCTGGATTTAGCTGATAACCATGTGCTCTTTATAGCATAAGAACTTCATGTGGACCATCCGAAATAATGAGGCTCCAACAGACTCCTGAGCGGGAGGGCTGGGGATTCCCACAGTGCTTTGATTTCTGAGCACAGCTGCTGGGGACTCCATGCCGTGGCAGGTGGACGTTTTGGTGTGGATTTGCAACTTCTGTGGAACCCAACTGATGTTTGTCCTAACCTTGTCAGAAGAACAGGTGCCCGAAGGCAAGGAAA